AAGGGCGACCAGTACAACTACAAGAACTAACCTCCAAGAGGAAGCGCACCCATGACTTGGCTAAAGCAGTACAAACAAACACTAAAAGTAGTAAGAAGTCTGGGTCCCATACTATGAAATCCAAGACAAAGCACATGCAAAGGAAAAAATAGGAAAACAGGGAAATCTTAGTGAATAAACAATGGAATGTTCACATAATGTTTAACATAGAGGGAAATTCACTTAAGGCAAATTGCCTAGATCAAAAACCTCTCTCCTTGGATCTGCCCTTGAACAACAAGGTTATTAAAAAGATTGAGGTTTTGACATTGTAAATAAGTTTTAATTCATTCTTTCCTGTTAAAAGTCTAACACAACATTTGTAATGATTTAAAATTTGGTTTGAACAGTAACATGATGTACATGTGCCAGAACTTATGGATTCTTCCATGGGTTCAGATAATTGGTACGATGCCATACAACCGTATAGTACTCTAGCCAATTTCAAACACTTATAATTTGATTATATTTTTGTTCAAGTGAAACCTTGTGGGTATGAAGGTTTGTTTGCTGATATTCTGATTGAGGAAAATTATAAGCAAAGTTCAGCCATTGATTCACATGGGGCGTTAACTAATACTCAGGTAAATTAAGGCCTGGGCCTCCAGTTATTTCACCCAAAAAGTGGGGGGGTGGTCTATCTTCTGAAGATTAAGCTGTACAAACGTAAAACTTTGAAAAGATTGAAGGTTTGAAATTGTAAATAATTTTTAATTCATTCTTTCTTGTTACAGTCTAACACAACATTGTAATGATTTAAAATTTGGTTTGAACAGTAACATGATGTACATGTGCTGCAATGACCACAATTAATTTCAAAAATTGATAATAATAATTTAAAAACAAAAACAATTATGTATTATAGATTGATCCAATAGTCCTTTCAAATCATCTCCAGTTAAAATCACTAAATGCAGGATAGGTTAATTAAACATGTGACTTTTGGTGTCTTATAAGATTTCGTTTCCCTGCAAAAGTCTTTTGACAATGATCACACTTGTTGCTGTTTTTATGTTTCTTGTCTTTATGCCTCTTTAGCTTTTGCTCATGGTCAAACGATTCATTGCATTCCTCGCAAATGCACTCATGACAACCTTTCTGGTGGTATTTGAAGTCCTTCTCCCTTGTGAACTGGGTGCTGCAGGTTGGACATTTTTTTATCTCTGCTATTCCCATATCAAGGTCTTCCCTCAAGCTCTGTGCTTTATCTTTTCAGTCCTATGAAGATCATAGCATGATATTTTAAAAGGGGGGAAATATATTAGGGAACAATCATGTATTTTTGATCCCCCCTATTTTTTATATAAACTAGATTGCAAAGACAGTTTTTTTCACCCTCTATCATAATTTTTTGAGGATAATACCCCCTTACCTCCCCCCCTTTCCTCAAAACCTGGATCCGCCACATGTAGGTTATTTCTAATTAAAATTTAGGTTAAATTAATTGGTACATTATAATGGGCCTTGCTATCCCCTAGGTATATTTAAGAGTTCTGTCTGGAAAAATAACAAGTCTGAACATTATATTACAAAATTGACATTCAGCTTAAGGTCCCGGCTTGATTCAAGATCAACATTCCTAACCTAAAATACTTTTAATTGGAAAGTTAGACGAGAACATTTACACTCTCGGTCCTTACAAAGTTAGCCACATAAACCACACAGCAGTCCACTGAAATGGGGCAGGGTTAATACACAAACATTCGCAATGTTAGAAGTTAATAACTAACCTTTCGTCTGTCTGTCGGCAATTTCTTCCACGTATTGCCAACCACTTTGGAAACCTGCCTGATTCCCGCCCCCTTTCCAAGTTGTTCCTTGAAATCTGGCTGTGGAATGATACAAAGTACGAGGAAACTATATTAGCTTATATGGAATGTAATTTCAAGGCCTACAAGAGTAATGAATACAAATGCAACACTTACAGATAAGATATTTGTTAATGACATAAACGAAAATTTTAGATGCGGTTTATTTTTCACTGATATTTCTGATCACTTAATCTTAATCTTAATCACTTGTAATCGGATGTAAAGGATGTAAGGGAAACAACATGTTTTAGACTATTTGAACAAGCACTTTATCCAGGCTGAAAATGATTGAATATTTCAGGAAATACAAAACAAACTCACCGCAACTGACTGCATAAAAGAGTTCCACCCCCTTGGCTTCTTAATTGATTTTTGTTTTGTTTCTGCACAAGAAGAATGGGTTCGTTCTGTTTCAGCTGGCTCAACTCTTGCGCACATGGATTGCTCCGCCATCTTATAAACAACACTGCCTGGAAGTGACGTCTGAGCGTGCCAACAGCGTACGAGCTATTCACGAGGGCTGTCGTCTGCTCGGCTAGTTTTAGAAATGGCATCGACCGTTTCAAATGGCAACGACTGTTCTGAGAAATGGCATCGACCATTTCAAATGGCAACGACTGTTTACGAAAGGGAAATTTGCTGCACCAACATCGATTGTCTGTGCGAGCGAGAACCATAGTGAACCAGAAACTGCCCGATGACTGGGAGGGGAAGGTTGCAAACTTTCACCAGTTTGTTTTGCGAGGAAAGGAGGAGCTTGGAATCCAAGGAGATCGTGTCTTCAACATGGATGAAGTTCCAATGTCATTTGATGCTCCTTTTTCCAGAACTGTTGATGCAACCAGAGCTGAAACTATTCCTGTTTACTGTTGTCCTTGCATGCTCAGAATCAGGGAAGAAGCTCAAGCCAATGGTAATCTTCAAGTGCAAAACAATGCCAAAAGAAAATCTACCGGATGGTGTGGTGGTTCATTGCCACAAGAAAGGATGGATGGACAGAGATGGAATGGCTGTCTGGGGTGAGAAAGTTTGGCGTGCCAGACCAGTGTCCTTCTTTAATAGAACTTCGCTACTTATCTTTGACAGTTTCAGCGCACACATCAATGAAGGCATTCGAAACAATTACAGAACGGAGCACAAAACAACCACCGCAGTAATTCCTGGAGGCCTTACAAAAAAGTTACAACCGTTGGACATTTCTGTGAACCATTCCTTTAAAAACCATGTTCACGAGGAGTGGGAGAAGTGGATGTCAGAGGGAATCCATACCTTTACTGAAACAGGAAAAATGAGGAGGGCCACCCATGCCAAAGTCTGCAACTGGGTTGTGCAAGCTTGGAAAGCTGTAAAAGTTTCGTCCTTCAAGAATGGTTTTAGAAAAGCAGGAATTACAAGTGGCACCGACGATGATGCATCTCAGACATCCGACATCAGTGACAATGAACAAATAACATCTACCGCAATTATTTTACAGACAGAATAAGTATTGTTTTGTTTTTGTGACATCATAACTAGTTTATGTGTGATAAGTAAATAAAGATGGAGAATTTTATGTGTTTTACAAAATAACATGACACATTATTGTAAAGTAGAATTTATTGAGTTTTTGATCATTTAAGACTGTCACCCTTTTACAACAAATTTTAATTAATTTCAGACAGAATAAGTATCATTTTGTTTTTGTGCCATCATAACTAGTTTATGTGTTATAAGTGAACAAAGATGGTGAATTTTATGTGTGTTTTATAATTTAAATAACACGACACATTATTGCAAAGTAGAATTTATTGAGTTTATAATAATTTGCCCAGTATATTTGTACCAACACCTTCTTTTTATATTCAGGTCGAGATCAAGTGCTGATTGGTGTCGTCCCTAGTGTGTGACCTGTGTCCTCCAATCAAAGTCCAAAGTCTGTGTTCCCTTTGGTCATAGCCAATTGTAAGGAGAACAGGTGAGTTATCTACTGCTATTATATTGTTTTGCTACACTAGTAAAAGTGAAAACAAGTGAGTGGGTCACAACCTTCCTGTAAAATTGTCTGCTTTCAATTTTTGTTTCTGAGAAACCAAAATAAACCTACCAGAATTTTGCATATCAAACTTGAAAGACTTTGTCTGACCCCATTTCCACAAACCGAGAAGAAATGTGCGAGTATTTTTGACAAACTTTGAGCCAGCTCGAGGTGTTTGGAAATGAGAACAAACACAGTCTTGAGTGTTTGATATATCTTCTCAGTCGCTACTAAAACTGACGAGAAAATGGAGAATTACAATCATAAAAATCTATGGTAATGAAGATCAGATATCCAAACACCATCATGGTCCTGACTTCCTTTGTTTTTTCAATTTATGAGTTTGAGAATTTTCTGTGAAAAGATGGCAGTTAATATGTTTGAAGACCTTGCTAAGGTTTGCTTTTATTAGTTGTTTTAAAAGTACTATTTTTGTTATTGTCTGTTTGTTGAATACATATCAATCTTTTTTGTGAAGGGACAATCTAAAGATTCTGCTGGAAGACCTTAATAATCAAAAAAAGATTCTCAAGGACAATGGGATTGATGTGGATGACAAACTTTACCAAGTACAATTTGTTGGTAGGTGTTTATTCTTAAGCTTTTATTATTCAGAGTTGAGACTACTGTCATGGTTTATGGTTTAAATGATTGGAACCCACATATATTTCTGATGCACCTGCAAATCTGTAAATTTATGTTCAGGTATATACATGTTGCAGCCATTAATAAGAAGGAGCAGAAGGAAAATAGAAGGGTTTAAGTAAAAAAGAAAAGGGAAGTCTGCTCTGCTAATAGGAACCTCTTTAGTCTACTATTCAAGGCCATTTATTTGCTAAATTATTTGAAATAATGATGTAAGTTTGATCATCGTCTCTTTTTCTAGTCATGTGGATTATTTGCTATTGCCATGAATCTATAGATGTTTCTTTAACCTAATAAGTTCAACTTCTCTCCTAAAGTTATTGTAGACTAAAAGACATTGACTTTGCTCTTGGTAAAGAAGGATGAGGAAGACTTTCTTGTCGGTGGCAGGGGAGTCTCTGTGGAATTTTGTTTTATTTACAATGCAGTCAGGGTATTTGTGTTAGCAATGCAGTTCTAGCAATTAAATGTTTGCTATTAGTAATATACATGTTGTACATGTATCAGTCAATATTCCACAGATGCAAATGTTTTGTTGAAAATCATTTTTGAAAAGATTTGAAGATGTCCACAATTATGTTATTGTTGCTAGACTGTAGGTCGAACCATTAACTGTAAATTATGTTTTGAGGATTATGTAATTTTGCAGGACACTAAATGTTAGTGACTCATTTTAAGCTAAAGATAATTTTCATTAGGGCTGTAATTGCCATGATGTAGAACCAGACGAAAGTTGCTTGGACTGTTTGCAAAGCAAGGCAAACATTGGAAGGTACTTGTATAAGTATTATAATAGGTGTAATTGCGTGCGACGAAGACCGCTTCCTAATCTCCTGGGCTACCTGTGATCGCGTAGGTGTCCTGTGCACGCAAGCGAAAGCTGACCCGTGTTTTTTCGTTCGATCGGCTGGCCGTTCATCTTTTCAGCGCCATTTTGAATGACGTCACAATTTCGTTGCGCAAAGGATGCTGCCTCGTGCATCGCAGTTTGTCGGACGTTCGAGGACGTGGTTGTTCGTTGGTGAAGGTTCGAACCTTCACCAACGAGCGACCACGTCCACGTCCACGTCCACGTCTACGTCCTCTATTGCACCTTTTAAAGCATAGCAAAGTTTCAATGAGGCAGTGTATACATGGCGCATGGACAACCAACAAAAGATTGCGTTGTTGCAATCTGCTGGAATCCTTTAATAAGTAAATCTCGTTTCATTAACAGTCAATGATGTTAGGGTACTACCTTACCAGTACTACGTGTTCTGCTTCCAAATGGTTGGAAGCCATCCCGGTGGCCTGAAAATTCAAAAAAGTTTGTATTGTTATTTTTAATTAAACTAGTACTTATTTAAAAACTAGAATAATATTATTGTTCAACTTACAACAGTATTAAAGGAGAAACACAGATATCTCAATTATATATTTTTGAAAGAGGGTACTGAGGAATAATATCACAACAGAGATTCTCCTCCCCAAAGTAATTCTTCTAGTAGACTACTTTGATTTTGGCATAAAGGGAATAAAGGGAAGAAATCAGGGAAGGAAGTCAAAATAAATCTAGGAACATCCTAAGACCCATTAAAACTACTGAAAGCATAAGTTTCAAGCAGGAAACATCTATTTTACACTATTAATGTGATCCCCTTCAAACCAACCATATACTTACAGACATAACATTTTTATGCTTACTAGTGTATAAACCAATTATCTTACCAATGTATGCTATATTCCTGGGATCACCACTGACATACTTAGGGTGATGATCAAATCTGGTGCAGCAACTGACGCAAAACAATTCTCTACTTCCATCAGCCTTTGTAGGGGCTTGCGATATTTCCTGTGCACTGATGATATTTTTGCAACCCTGTCTGACACATCTTGCAGGCAAACACCATGTTTCATCAGGATTCCAAAACCAAGCCAACTCAGAAAATCTTGTACCATCCCGTACCTCCTTTTTAATGCTCCATCCATCATTACCTCCATTTATCCAGTGTTCTTTTTCCACCCAATGGGCCGTCATCTTTTCACACATCTGCTGATCTGCAACCCATAACTTAACTTTGCTACGTAACCCAAGATAATAATACTTTATAGTTCCTGCTTCTCCACAAAAGCAGCACTTTTCAGTTGCAGACTCCATAATGTCCCAGTGGTTTTTATGTGCTCCACTCAAGCAAATAAAATATTCTTTAGCATCTTCATACCCTACATCATCAAGAAATTTTTTGGCTTGTTCCCAGTCCTTGGGCCATCTTATTTTCATTGTGTGGTCTTCTTCATCTATTTCTTTTCCTCTGCAATACATACGGCGAGCATAGCAAAGAAGGTCTTCTACAGTGCGTAATGAAGAACCTGTTCTTACACTAAGTTCAATTGCTTCAAATATGCACTTCACAATGGCATACTTTAATTTCTGATCTTCAGTACCAGGAGCAGTTCCTCCATTGTCATCCCCATTTATGCCATTACCATCATCTCCTATATCATCCACACCTTCAAAGTCCATTGGGGGGTCCACATCCTCAACATCAGAAAGGTTTTGATGTTGAGGAGAACAAATTTGTTCAAAGTTTTCAGTTGCATCTTCATCTTCTACTTCTTCAGTGGCCAGATTGGTTGAGGTACCACACTGCAAACTTACTGTTTCCTCTTGCAAACCAGTGAATTGGTAATCTGTAAAAAAATTAATGCATTTATGTTGCTTTTTTAAAACCAAGTTTAAAATAAAAAATAAGTTTATACTGAGAATTATCATCAGGAACTCGAGGAACTGCAATTGTTTATGTTTGCAACAATCTCACTATGACATTTCTACATTGAACTCAATTCTCCTCGAAAAAAAAATCCAAACATGATCATCACAATACACAGTTTAAACAATGCTCCCGGGAAACGTGAAACTATAAAGCCTGGAAATAAAACACGTGTTTTTGGAACTGTTTCGCGTGGACTGAAAGTTGATTCGCCCGATAGTGGATGTTTAGAACGAGAAAT